GTCCTAAAACCAACAGGCTAACAATTAGCTCCACTACAAACCAGTACAACAATAAAATGCCACTTACAAGTGAATGTATTAGTGATAACAATCCAATACAAAAATATAGGCGGGCACACATGCAGCTAGATCTGCCAGTGGCACTGATCCAAAGCCTCAGGGGCCCCCAAATGTGATTAGGGGTTATTATAAAGTATATAAAGTATATCTTATTATTATTATCATATATTATATATATATTATTTAATTTTACTTTTTTTTTCTGATATTGGCAAATGTTAATTCTTCAGCTCAGATTTAACAAAAAGTAATGCTATGATGTTAAATGTTAGAGACTGTGATAAATACAAATGCAGATCCCACTATTTACTGTCCCACTACCATTAAACAACAGTGTCAGTTTAAACCAGAATTTTGCATCATCATTTTAACAAGTAGTAGAAGAAGAAGAAACAGATATACTTATTAATCCCAGAGGGAAAATCATTTCTTTTCCATGCTGCTGTCACATACACACAGGGCTGAAATACATAGATCTATACATGTATTAAATGGAGAGATGTCAGAGCGAGGGAGCTGCATTAGATGGGTGTCCTGAGCAGCTGGGGGTTTGGTGCCTTGCGCAAGGACACCCTGGCAGTGCCCAGAGGGTCAAGTTGCACCTCTCCATGCTTGGTCTATATGGGGACTTGAACTGGCAACCCTCTGGTTCCCAAGCCAAGGGGCTAATAATATGCTGACATGCTGCATACTGCTGTATAAATCTGTTTAGTCTGTGCAGTTGAAGGTAACATGAAGTATATATATTGCCAGGTGATGGTGGTGGTGAAGGTGTCTTTGGGGCACATAGCTCAGTGCTGCTGCAGGGGCCCTTGTTAGGTTTGACCTGCCCTGCTGATAGGGATTATTTCCTTTAAAAAATAATGTTTCTGATACTTTAAGTACATTTAGCTGACACCTGTGTGCTTATATTTGGGTATAGTTTGAATACAGCGGGTTAATTTCCTTTATAACGGAGGACTTTACATTGTTGTGTTGCTGCTGTTCTGAATATTCTCCCCCATCTGGATTTGGGACCGAATAACAAACAGAGGAAACGCCGCCGACCTGAGCGCGTCATGATCCGCCTCCACTCACCTGGGCCCCTCTCGACTCTGCACGACCCTCCGGCGACACTGTACGACATCCGTCTGTTGTCCGGGGCCCCTCTGACCCCCATACCCGACGAGGAGCCATAATCCCCGGAGACTCCGTTCACACTCCCGGTCAGCAGACTGTCCGTTTCCATCCAGGAAACTTAAAGTTCCTCAGTGTCCGCTCCTCCGCTGTGAAAGTGAAAGCAGCAGATTATGTGTGTGCCGGAGAGAAGTCAGCTCCGGTGAAGCTGAGATTAATCTGTGTGTGAAGAAGTCAGTGACAAAGTTACATAGTTTCAGACAACACAACAGCCTCGCGCACACTCGAGTGAGGGAATGTGTTTTTAGGAAGTTGCCTCTCTGCTGTGCTCCACCCTCCCGTGCTCAAGTATCACTTTACACTGCCTTTAAAAACTCAAACTCCACCTACAGTACACAGTACATGCTGCAGCCTACACTACACTGCACAGTCTGTAGCCTACACTACACTGAACACGCTGCCTTCTGCAGAGGTACAATAGAGGGTCAAGATTTCTGAAAGTGACTTGAGAAGACAAACATTTTCAACATTCAGGTGAGGAAAGGGGCTTGCTGCAGAAGTATGCAGTAATAAAATACGATTAAGGAAAAAAAACCCTACTGAATAAAAAGAAATACTCCCAGTATTATGCACTTACAGGGCCTGTATGCAGGTCGCTTCAAGGGCCCAGAGCTGGATAGAGCCCAGTCACATCTGTAAGAGGTATTGGAGCTGGGGCTCTGCTGTCAGGTATGGACGCTCATGTCTGACAGAACAAAAAGCATCAAACACTTGGAATGATTAAAAAAAAAAAATGATTAAAATAATCATGGTAAGTCAAGATTGACCTTTAAAGGTCCAGTGTGGAGCATTTAGGGCGGTGGTGTTGTGGTAGTTGAAGAGGCGGGTGCACTTCTGGGTAGATGGTGGGTGACCAAGGAGGAAGAGGGTTTACTCTGTGATATGTTTCAATGCCTTTTTTTGCTGATAGGGGAGTATACAGTGAACAGCCAGAAAAAGAGGTGTGTATGCTCCATATCATGCATGTGCCCTCCACTAAACCACAGATTTAGGGGGATATACTGGCAGAACTGGAATATAATAAACATGTTTCCTTCGGCATATCATCACCTGAAATAAGACTTGTTATTTCGTCAGTAGCCCAGAACAGACAAACCAAACACTGAGTCCAGATAGGGCCATTCACATTTTTGTGTGGGCCACCATAGTTAGCAGCCCCTCCACCATGAGAGCGTTGGAGAAGCACTGATTTGTAACATGCGACTGCTTTATTCAGTGTTTTCACTGGTTTAGATCACCTGGTACGTTTGTTTTGAGAAGATGAGACCTCTCTGTAACAAAAACCTCCTGAATGTCAGCATCAGTAATAAAGTGGGCACACATTAGCAGGTGCTAGGCTAGAGGTTTATCTGCAACATGCCAAACAGCGTCAGAGAAACACTGATGTGTAATGTGAAACTACTTCATTCAGTTTGTTTGTTTTTACCAGTTTTAATCACCGGGTCTGTTTGTTTTGGAGAGGAAGAGACCTTTGAGGAAAATTCTGCTCCCGATAAAGACCTCCTGAACAATTAACACTGAAGGAATCCTGACCATGTGAAGTTTCGGCTGGTTGCAGTCTAGTGGTGGTGTCTGGTGGCAATCATCACTGCTAGACGCCACCCTTTTTAATTTTTCTCTAACTGAATAATCAATGAAGCACCTTGGCACTATTAATATATAGTGTTTTTTAGTATCTCACAGCAAAGTTTTGATGCATCATAATTAATATATAATATATAATTATATTGCTATATTGTTCTATAGTCTGTTTTTATTGCTTATTTGGCCAAGATAATGTAATCAATTTTTATTCAGTGAATTAACTGGATATTAATAGATATTCTATATATTATCACAATCGACTCTGTGGACTATTTTCAATGGGTTATTGGCCAAATGGTTATTAATAATGTTTTTGCAAAAGTTATTACATTCACTAAACTAATATGATACGAGGATATTTTTTCAACAGAAACACCCTTTTTTCATACTGTATGTGAGATAAAATGTTGGTTCCAAAAAAAAGGCATATGACTTTCTTCCAAAAAAATAAAAAATAAAAAAAATAAATAAAATAAAAATTTCCATTAATGCAAAAAACATTCATCGGGCATATTGCCACCCACATTTTAATGAAGTTTAATATTAAAGACTGATTTTAATAAAGTCAGGACAAAGTATGGTCTTTTTTTATGTCTCCTCTGTAAAGTTATTCAAATATCACCTTCACCCCTCTGGTTCTCACCCCTCGATGTGTAGATAATGGCTGATGTACAAAAACTGCACTAAGAGCAATAAAACACGTTAATTAGGCCCCTGCAGTACATCACATGTAACACTATGCTCATTCAACTGACAACTAATTTAATTTAACCAGAATCCTTCTCTGATGTTTGACGTGTTCCTTCCCCCAATACATCGTTAACTTAATTAAAAGTAATTAAATTAAAACATGTAGAAATAAAACGTTAAAACCAATCTAATTTATTTTTAGGATCTTTATTTCCAGTAAACCTTTAATCTCTCCCAACTCGTCCCATACAGAGTGTCTCACTAACTAACAACGTTAAACTCAGAACACACACCTGTGTAATCCAATAACTTAAGTGTCCCAGACACTGGAGGAAAAGGTCTCTCACAGTCGAAATCTAATTTGTCACAGGGCAAACATAGAAATTAAAGGACCAGTATGTAGGATTTAGGGGGATATGTTGGCATATCCATCCATCTATCCATTTTGACCAGCTTATCTGTAGCCAGGACGCAGGGGCAGCAAGTCAAGCAAAGCACTCCAGACATCCCTCATCCCTCTCTCCGTTCCCAGGCCAGATGAGATATGTAATCCCTCTAGCGTGTTCTGGGTCTGCCCTGGGGCCAGTGGCATAGATTAAATTTAATATATTAAGTTTCTTCTTTAGTGTATAATCACCTGAAAATAGGAATCGTTGTATTTTAGAATGAGGCGTTTCTACACCAGGAGCGGGTCCTCGTCGACAGAGATTGTCATGTTGCATCGCCATGTTTCTACAGTAGGACAAATCACCGGATAAACCAAACACTGCCTCTATATAGGACCATTCACATTTTCGCATGGGCCACTGTGGTTAGTAGCCCCTCCACAACAAGAGCGTCGGAAAACACCTTTTTTTTAAATAGACATTTGTCTTGTTTATAAACATTGTATACACACAAGACGAGACCTGAAAGAGGTGTACGCCACTTTCCATGGAAAATTTAGACCTATAAAAACAGACTTGATGGGAGAAACTTTGACCCATGCTAACAAACATTTTTGGAGACGGGAAATTTGCAATGCAGATGGTGAGGTAGAAGCCTGACTGTAGAAATTGTCAAATATTTTTTGGTCCATGCCATTTTTGGAGTTTGTCTTGTACATTTTTAGAATGTATCCTGTGCACTGTTTTACAAAGGAGACTCCTGGTCTGTGTGTTTTGGAGAGGAAGAGACATCTGCGGATAATTCAGCTCCCATTGAAAACCTTCTGAACATGTGGATCTGAAGTTATTACAGAAAAAGACCGGGCACACAGTAGCATGAAGAGGGTTAGCCGCCTGTCTCTGACATGCCAGCATTGGAGATACACTGATTTCTTACGTGATTCTGCTTTATTCAGTGTTTTTACTGGTTTAAATCATCTGGTCTGATTGTTTAGGAGAGGAAGAGACTTCTGCGGATAGTTTGGCTCCTGGTAAAAACCTCCTGAACAATAAACACTGAAGGAATTCTAACCGGGAAGAGTTTCAGCTGGTTGCAATCTGCAATCCTCACCACTAGATGTCACTAAATCCCCCTAAATCTTACACACTGGACCTTTAAAGCTTTTTGTTGATGTTGTTGGTTTTAGTGCCATATTACTGATATGACTAATATTTATGATCACATTTAGAAGAAATCAGACATCAACTTTGAAAACCCCTGTAGCGCTTTGTCACTCATAATATTGACATTCGACCTCCAAAAGAGTTATAATGAGAAATAGTTGTTCTAGTTGATCACATGAAAGGTTCAGAAAGGAGGCACAGTCACTGTTTCTTACGCTGTGAGTAAATTACTGTTAATTTTTTAAATTATTATTAGTGTTTTTAATTTGTAAGGGACAAGTATAGAGAAACACAGACAGCTGCAGAAGCAGAGTCAAATGTGCTGTACACATGTATACAGCCAAAGCTAATTTCCTACACCAGTACCTTGACTGGCACTGATAGTTTCATGTTCAATATGTTGCATAGTTTCCCACAAATGACTGCATTACTGCATTTCACATGACAAAAGACTTGAAATGATCTCATATTTCTTAGCATGGTTTGGGAATGACAGCATGTCATCAACAGTCACAAACTGAGGTAGAACAAAGGTCCTGTTTAGGCCCAGAGTAATGATTGTTTCACATGCTTGATCCTATGTACAATACAAACTATTTGGCTTAACTGAAACTGTGACTGATCTTTTTAATCCGTCAAAGTTGTGATGGCTTTTCTCTGGACACTGAAGACCTGATGTTCTTATTGCTGTGGAGTGTTTGCTGCCATCTGGGACACCTGTGGGAAAGGAAATGAAGCATTAAAACAACTTCATGAAGATGTTTACTCAGCCTACGATGACATTTTTTTTTTTAATTGTTTGTTTCCCTCGCTACCAAATACTAGTGGGATGAATCATATTGACCATTTGTATTCACAATTAATTAAGTAAGTTAATTGCTACCTGGTCTTGGATGCACCTGAACTGCCAGGTCCAGCGTGTGTTGTAGAGGAAAGGTCGGAGGTCAAAGCGGTTGTCGTCGGGGCTGTAGCTCTCGGCGTGGTAGGAAGGTGTCACTGTGGTCATCTTATGGCGGTTCACTGAGTACATCCGGAAGAAGTGCTTCACCTTCTGGGCCACCTGAAGAGAGATGACCATGCACTGTTATTTTAGGGGGCGTCTTAAACAGCTGCTAAATGCACAGTATTAATTATCATCAACAGTTTTGGCATCCACACTTGGCCTGAAACAGTGTTAATTCTGTTGACAACCTTTTTTCCATGACGAAAACCAGACGCTAGCGAGCTAAGGCTCAGTTATCTGTGAGCGTAGTTTAGTTTGAATCACCAACTCTGTGAGAGGACACGAGTTTAAACCTCCAGACTAACATGTTGCAGATGAAGAAAGAAGTCAGGCTTTAATCAAGTTATTTTTCTGCTTCTTAACAGTCATATGGATAAGTCAGAGTTTACAATGAACCTGGGGACAAATCCTAGTTGTCTCACATTAGTTATTTGTGCTGTCAAAGCATAAATAGAGATATGCTGAGCTTTTCAAATGATGATCAGGAAGTGTGTGCTCATAAGTCAGCTCTTAAACCTGTCAAACATGTTTGTTAGTGTGTAGAAATTATTTGTAGTTGTAGAAAAAAAATTATCGAAATGAGATTTTCATACAACCTGTCACCTTGATTCTAATTTCTGATACATGAATTACCCTCACTGGATTAGTTTAGAGATTAAAAAAACACAAAAATAGAAAACATAATGACTTGAATTTGACTGGGATGTTGTGAATTTTTGTTGACTAAAACTATGAAGGATAAAAATGACTAAAATGTGACTAAAACTAATGAGGACTAATTAACACTGGCCTGAAAAGTGTCTGCTCTGCATTGTTCTGTGTTCTGCTGAGTTTATTTAAATATGGACACAGAGTTGTTCCCCTACAGGAGGAGTCCACTGTCTCTAGCAGAGCAGCAGAAAAATGTCCCACACTGCAGAAGAGTTGACTGACCTCTGTGGGTGAGAGCGCATCCTTCCACATGTGGATGAGTTTACAGAACATACTGAAGGGGCCGCACTTGGAGATCTTCCTCAGTCGTCCAATCACAGATAACTCAGAGTAAGTCATCCCCATGTCTGCCTGAGGAGGGAGGCGGTCGGAGAGAGATGGTGGAAAACAGGAAAAGGAGGATGAGGGATGAAGGAAATGGTGGCTGATGATCCCATGTGCATGTGCTCATTAAAGAGTATTTCAATTTAAGCCTGAACACAATTTTTTTTAATATAACCCGAGCAAAAAGTAATACAAGGTTACTTCTGTAGGAACATCAGTCCCTTTCTTTTTGTGAAAGCATTCAGAGCCACTTAAGAAGTTTGCAATTTGTGCAAAAACATTATTGGTCAATATCTTAATTAAAATAATATTAATAATTGTAACATTCAAGTAACTTTATGAGCCTGCTGTAATGTACCAGTTGCTAAAAATGCTGTCTGTAGCAACAACACGTTAACGTTGTATCACCCACCTCCCCCTCCTCTGATACCACCCTCACCCAAATGGTGCTCAAGTCTCACCTCACTGCTGCAGTTCAAACAATATTCTCACCCACAAACTGAATCAGGAAATAGAAAAAAACCTGTGAGAAGTTTTTCTTTCTCACAGCTGGACTGATGTGCAGTAAGTTAATTATATATGTGAAAAACATCCCAACACTTTAAGCAACAACAGCTCATCCAGATAGCTCTAAGATTAATGTGATTCAGTTAAAAGGTCGACAGATGTAATTAATTTTGTACCTCATCTGTTTGCGACACCTGTCCATCTGTCAGTGGCTCCAGTTCAGCTGTGGGCGGAGCGGACAGGATACTGCAGAGGAAACCAAAACCACACAAGATGCACAGTTTGTGGTTTGTGACAAAGCTTTAAAGAAACAATGAGTGGTGCATGAAACCTACACATTATATATGTATATCTATATACTGATTTATAAAGTGTTTAAATTTGCTGCAGTTTGTTTCGGTAAATGTGTCATTGTCAGTTTTATCAAAGTAAAGCACACTGTAACAAATGGTTGCTGGTGGTGCTGCAGTTTTTGACATATATTTCCCATTAATCGTGGTGATACTTTCACTTCTATCTCTGAAGGTGTTGTGTTTAGTGAAGAGTGCAAAATACTCGAACTGATTTCTTTTTAATCCTTCCATCTTGTTGGTGTCTGTGTTCTCAGTACTAACAGGCACGTTACCCAGCAGTTCAATCCTCCCAGATGTCTGTGAGCTGACCTTACCCTCTCAGAGCAGTGAGCTGGAACTGCTCGGCACAGTACAGCAGGAAGCTCTTCAGGTCTGTCTTGCTGATGCCTCCTATTGGGTTGATGTCGGCACTGGAGCAGTCGTACTTTGTGAAATACCCTGTCAGACTGAGCAGGAGAAGTTATTTTATGGGGGGAAAGTCAGGCTGTAAATATTCTCCACAGTAGTTGCACTGTTTTAGCCACACTCATTATGGTTTGTGGCTGCCGTTTTGCAAGTTAATAAAACAGTTATTGTTTTTTGTGAATGGCCTCCTGACACCAGGCATTAATGTGTGTTAGCAGGCGTTAAAAAGCACAAGCTGCTGCGATGGTCTGGGCATTTTTTTCAGGTACCAGTAAGTCAATAAAATAAGATCCCAGAGGGCCAGTCTGCATGTCTTCAATGGACTTAACGTCATCACTGCTGCAATCATTTCATCCAACCTCTTAATTCATGAGGTAAATAAAAGAAAGGCTGAATTCATGATACAAAGTGATTTGCAAGGATCGCACACTTCTTTGTTTTGGCCAAAGCAGCATATGTTGCATGGCATTGGAGCAAAACTTGAGCCAGGTTCAACAACTTTGTTGATGAGCCTTTCTTTATTTCCTCTCTGGCATCACTGACATGGATGAGGTTGCTGCATTTTTTCATGCGGTGCTGTAGTTTAATGCATGTTACACTACGCTGCAGGGGTCTAATGGAATCTCGGTCACAGTCTGTGTCAGACAATCTCAATTTGAAGCATGTCAGATTGTGTGACTAATGTCTGTAAAAAAAAAAAAAAAAAAAAAAAAAAAAGTACAGAAGAGCAGAGACACATCATCAGTTCATTGACCTGCACTGCTCATATATTCTCAAACAGCAACAACACAATAATCAAATTTTGGCCACAGTGCACACACTTCTCCTCAACTTCTTTCAAACATGTCACGTATGAAATGTAGAACTGGCAAGTGTGTTCTGTGTGTGTATTCTGATTGGTTGGTTAGTGTGGGTCACAGCAGCTGTCATATTTTGAAAATTTGGTACTAAATTTAAATATTTGGATTCAGGCTGTCTTTTATTTCCAAAGCTCCTAATCAACCATTGGTTGCTGTGTCTCACAGTGCAATGTAGGACCGATGATTTTACCATGTTTCTCTCATGACTATCCATTTTTCGTCTCTGTCAGCCCAAATCCACACAGTGTTAAGGAGCTTTAGTCTCTCTCATGGAGGCTGTGTCACTTAATTATTAAGATATATGTATTTTTCCTAACAGCAAATAAACACTGAAAGCATTTTCTGCATCTGTCGTTCGCGTGTCTCATGGAACAGATTCAGTTTCAGTCTACACTGAGTCTGTGAGACCCCCAGGCTTTTTAAGGCTTCAAGTCAATTCTTTGTCAAGTTTAGTGAAGCGTAATCTGCACAGACAGCTGTTTAAATCACACAAATATCCCGCTGTGTATGTTTTGAACTTATTAACCGTCTCTAAATTGATCATTCGAGGCTCCCAGTCTGTCTGTGCCCGTTTCACTACAGGCAGACTCCTCTCACTCGCTATAGCAGGTGTGAGAAATAAAATCAAAGAATCAATACATAGAAACACTTGATTTCTTCCCATGGCGCCGACATGACAACTATTCTGGTTCAGTGAATTTCTGCTACAGCCTGTGAAGGCAGGTTAGTGCTGTCCACTCAGCTCCCCAGAACCTGCTGCTGACAGATGGCTGAGACGTTTACAGAAGACGGAGTCAGTGTGGACTGAATAAAAGGACGTTTTTGTGCTGCTCTAGTTCACTTTGGTCTCATTCCCAACAGGGATTCCCAGTAAAAACAACTGCAATCGCAGAATTTATTTAAGAAGGACACATGAAATATAGCAAACATGTCTCCAGTTATACCTCTCATCTACGTTGGCTGAGCCCAGCACCAGTAATCCACCTGGCTTCCCACGAGCCCACAGACTGAGCTGGGCAAACAGGTAGGCCAGGACCATCCTGACTCGAGCCTGGAAACACACACACACACACACACACACACACAAAGTGAATATGGTACTGACAAGAACTAATAAAATGGTCACAGCTGTGTCACTGAAGCTTCAGTGTGAAGACTGTGGTTAAACTGTCAGAACAGTTTGACAACATGAGGTGTAAAAAGTCATGAACTGAGTCAAAGACAAAGAGAAGTCAAAGAAGACAAAGAGAAGTCAGACAGAAGTGGCTCTGTCTGACCTGTACGTTCTGCAGAGCCAGGTTTTCTCTGTGACTTCCTCCATTGGCGCGAAACTGAGGCCACCTCCCAGTGACCACTGAGAAGATACCCAGAATGCCTTTCACCGCCATGTCTATGTTAATATTCATGTGTGTGCTGCAAAATGACAAAGAATGAAAACACTTTTTATTCCAAAGAAACTTAAAGGACAAAAATCTACAGAAAATACACACTTACTGTGTATGTTCATCCTACAGGTGTGTCGTATCATCTCATTCTCGATAATACAGGTATAATTTTTAACATGATACTCCAAGTAATAATGGTCTTCTCTTTTAACTTGTTCTCAAACACTTAGTTTCTATGCTTCTTGATACAGCGCATATCAAAAGCCCTTCAGGTTGTATTTCACCTACCTGCCGATCTGATTGGCCAGGCTTTTGGCTCTGCTGCATGTGTCCTCTGACGAGTTTTCGCTGGCCATGTAGCAGGTGGTGAAGATGCGACCACACAGCTCCCTTGGGTGCTGAGGATGGTAGGATTCATCCCCCACCACCCTGCGAACATCCTCCAGCACCTGGCTGTCTGATGGGTCGACAGAGACAGTAATATTTTTCCTGCTTTTTTCCAACATATAGTAAGAGCCCCTTTTCAACTGCAGGAACTTTTATCATTTACCCAGGATTCTGAAAAACCTTGGTGTGTTTCCACCGAAATTACCTGTGGAAAAAACTTTCCCTCAACCCCAAACTTTCGATGAAAAAAGTACCTAGTAGGAGGGTAGGACTTTTCAGATTCCCCAGAATTCTTGAGGGGCTAGTCTCTGTCAGGCTTAAACCTCGTTGCAGGGGATCACGTTTGGCCTTGTGTGTACATGCATGTATGTGTATCTGTCTCTCTGCAGCTAATCTGGCAGACTACTGGACCAATTTGTCTAATATTTTGTGGGGACATTTACAACTGTTTGCTTAAGGACCTCTTACAGCTGCGGTGATTCAACAATGTTGAAAAACCTGTTTATTGACTGTTTTATATCGGCACTGACTGCTGACTCCTCCTCCTCTTAACCGGCTGGTAGGGTTAAGCTGGTAAGTTTTTGGAAATCGGCTCAGCTAAAAACAAAACGCCACTTCTTTTGCAGGACACATTTTAGACTTGGTCGTGGCTAAAAAACCTGCATCCATAGAGACGTTTGCTCTTATCATAAAACTTCAATTAAAAGCCCTGTCCCTTTCACGAGCTCAGTGGCTTCACATTGTGACCAATAAAGGCCTGTGTCAATTAGACACCTGATCTTGTTACCAAGCTGTTCATTTCTTTAATAAAACCGGCTTGTTGACGACCCACTTGAGCTAACATTAGTTCGCTGCTTAGATTATGCATACAAATATAAATGTTTTAACCTGTCAGTATGGAGATGCTACACATCGTCAGCTCAGTTGATTTCTTTTCAGTGAAACTATGAGCACCACAGACCCCAAGTCATTCAGATTTAAGGGCATGAAGAAAAAACAAGTAGTGACTCGCTTCTTCTGAATCTGTCATAAAGTCAGAATATGTGACCATTCCTCAGTTACCCCACTACATACAAACATATTCCTTGAGTCCGTTAGGGTCCACTGATCAAAAGTGTCATAAAAAAATAATCCAAGTTATGAATATTGTTTTAACAGGACAAAGTGGTGTTGTGTGGGAATGCCAGGTGCCGTGAAACAAGTGTCATAACACATAACTGAGATGTTATTTAAAGCCTATTTTTCATACAAGTAATATTCGTACTGGTTCAAATAAACATTTGTTTTGATTGTATTTCCCATCTTTGCTGTGCAACAGTTTTGTTTAAGAGGAATTAAAGGCCTGTCCCATGTAGACACCTGTCTCTAATAAAAGCCTGTTGAGTTCAGTGATTTAAGCGAATAATAGTCTGAGCTACTGATTAAAGTTTTTCAGTATTTTAAAACATTACATCTGCAGATTATTCCATAACCGAAATGTTTATGATCCACTAAAGTCAGGCGCATTACCAGATGAATAAGTCAAACATTTTTGTTTGCTTCACCACCATCTTCATCGCACAGTGTCATAACACGCTGGGTGCATGTTGTGCATGTGTGTGTATTTCGGGCTTGTGTGTATATGACAACAGAGTGAGAAAAATTTCCCCTCAGGAATTAATAAAGTATATCTCCTTCTAAAGAGAGGAAGCGTGTATTCTTCTTAGCGTCTGGGACATAACACGCTGCAACAGATCTGTTGGAATTACAAGATTTATCTAGAGTGGCTGTGATCAGCTCGGGCGGCTGCACGGCCACCTGGTCAAGAACAACACTTTACTGGTTATTCAATTATCTTTTTTTTTTTATTGCCAACAAAACTCATGAAAAGATCAAACCAACAGTGTATTATGAGGTCGCTCAATACTGTCTGACCTCACAAATATAATGTTTCATCTTTAAAATTGTTGAACAGCTGGTCAGTGCAGTTTCGAATCAAACGTTACACACACCAGAGGAAATAGTGCATTTACTGTGGACTTTTTTCAGAAGCAGATTAATCCATATTTAGTGCTGTGGTGAGTATTTGGGAGTTTTAATAGTGTCTAGACAACAACAGAGTTCTACGTTAAAGAGGAAGAAGATAAATCAGGCTTTGATACAAACACAATACTTGTTAGTTGATAACGTTCATTGTTGGTTTGAGTCTGAACATGGGATTTGTTGAAAAGATAGAAAATAGAGTATTCCCAGCCTCATCCTTTACAAGAAGATGTGACAATAGTCACACTGACAGAATGTGTGTGTTTACAATAAACTGAAATGAAAGCAAGCTGAATCATACTCACTGCCGTCCTCTACAGCCTGGCAGAGCAGCACACACATTGAGTGGACAATACAGGCGGTGGAGGAGCTGTCGACTCCTCCGCTCAGAGGCAACAGGAAACCAGCCTGAGACACAAATCACAAACACCAAACTTAACATCTAACGACTTCTTTGTTTCAGTTAATTTATGGCCCAATAATACAGAAAGTGTGTGTGTTCCTCCTCACCTGTCCACTTCTCCTCAGGTAGTCCCACAGCCAGCAGGCCGGCCCTAAACTGAACGACACAGGTGATAACTGCTGTTCAATAGATTTCTGGGTTTCAAATGCTGCTAGATGAAACTTGTTTTCTGTTACAAACTTTGTACCAAATGTCTGTATTTGTACCTGATCTCTTCCTCTGGTGTATGAAAGTAACATGTCATTGGCTGGTGAGTAGGGAGGTAGACGTCATCACAACTGGATAAAGAGAAGTCAACTTTGATCCTGTGGCATGGTTTGGGTTCACTTTCCTACAACAGAGAAGTGTGAAAGTGAGAGACGAATTGACATTTACTCACACTAAACATACGAAACCATCAAACAGTGAGCGGAAACTGAAAAAAGGTGTTTTGTGTTTCATGTGCAATGTGTTAACAAGCCACAATTTATAACTTGGCTAAAAAATGCTATAAAGGAAAGATTGCATTAATTTTCTGCACTTTTTCAGCTCTGTTTTTGGTCTTTACGAACTCCTGAAGGTAATATCTGTCTCTTTAGTTGCTAAATGCTCCACTATGTTCACCAGCTAGTCTCTTGATGAGTCTGTCTGCTGTTTGCTGCTGAACAGGTGGAGTACAGTGAGGTTTACACTGAAAACAGCTTCCTGTTGCTGGAAATAAGGCTGATGAGGCCTGACACTGAACCAAAACATTAAAGTTGTGAGCCATGAAACCAAAACAATGAGCTGAAGGAGGCTAAAAAGCTGCGTAGAGCTGAGGGCAACTGAAGAGTCAGGTGAATGATTCTTTCATACAGTGATTTGATCCATTGTTAGTACTAAAAATATTGATCAGTGCAGCTTTAATATGAGGCATGGACTGTCTTCAGACTTTGTTCAAGTGCGTTTCAGTGGCAAACGTTTTGAAGTCACATTAATATACTGCTTTGTGCCAAGCAACAGCCAACACATTAAAACCACTGACAGGTAAAGTGAATAACATGATGCCACCTGACACTCCATCCACCCAAACACTGTTGCAGACCAAGTACCCCCTCATGGCATGGCACTCTCTGATGGCAGTGCCCTCCCAGCAGGACAATGCATCATGTCACACTGCGAAAACTGCTCAGGAATCATCAGAGGAACGTGACAAGCAGCTCAAGGCATCAACCTGGCCTCCAGATTCCCCAGATCCCAATCTGATGTAGCATCTGTGGCACGTGCTGGTACCCAACCTCACAACCCACAGGACTCCAAGGATCTGCCTCTAACGTCTTGGTGCCAGACACCACAGGACACTCCCAGAGGTCCTGTGTCCATGTCTCAACATGTCAGAGCCAAGTCTGATCCAAGGAGGCCCCACCATGGATTGGGGATATCTCTGAGGATCCTTCCACAAATGCTTGATCAGATAGGACCTGGGGAATTTGAAGGCCATGTTGACGCCTTGAGGTCTTTGCCAAGTTCCTCAAGCCATTCCTGAGCAGTTTGTATGGTGTGGTGTGGTGCATTGTTCTGCTGGGAAGGCGCTGGCATCAGGGAGGTACTTCAGTCTGCGACTGTGTTTGGGTGGGTGGAGCGTGTCAAGTAGCATCCACATGAATGCCAGAATCCTAGGTTTCCCAGCAGAATATTGCTCTGCAACGAGACGATCAATGTGATTCAGCTTCCCTGCCGTGGTTTTAAGGTTTTGGCTGTTAGAACCTGCTAAATAGTGAGCTTTAGAGTGATGGAAGGAAATAATACGTAAAAGCAAAACAAAAAGAAATAAGCTATGATTCGGCAACTTGGTATATTCCAATAATTGGTGGGTGGTGCTGTCTCACCATGTTGGGCTGGCAAACTTCTCCTCTGTAGCTACGGACATCCTCAAGGTCTAGAGTGGCTGTAATCACCTCCTACAACACACACACACACACACACACACACACACACACACACACACACACACACAAACATCAGTCTCAGGAATGCCTGCTGTCTTACTGCAAGGCCTGCCCTGCAACACTTACCCAACATAGGGGAAACACAACACTTAATTTCCTGCCCACATCTACAGTAATGTCTCTTCACATGTATCCTTTATGATTTTCATCTACATACTTATTTGCAGGAAGCCATGTCCATACACACCACATCATTCAGTGAGAACTGTGCTCCCTGAGCTACAATGTCTCCGTTGATGGCCACCATGGCACAACCATCATAGTAGACACGGTCTCCATCGCAGCCCCTCTGGTTGGCGTACAAGTAGATACCTCCGCTCTGGAACAACACCGACAAGACTCTGAATGCAGCATTGATTTGACTCAAGTTATTGCAAACTTAAAACAGAACACAGGATGTTATGGCGGCACTGTGTCCTGTATTTGTGGTACAACACTGCCCTCTGGTGATCTCTGAGCTCAACTGTGTGCGTACATACAGGAGGGTGACAAATTAACACACAAACCAAGTTGAATTATTTCAACTTTCATCTTTCTGACTAATATTACAATTGGGTTTTTTCAGTATCTGTGAATTACACTGTAGACCACTATTTATCTTCTACATAGTCTTTAAACATCTGTTTCTACCAACCATAATCACATACGGTCAGTGTTTTTATGTGACTAATAGCCAGATGTTTGTGGAGCTATACCTTGGTGGTGGCTGACTTGATCAGGTTGACTCTCTGGTCAGCTTTGCGGAGCTCGTGGTGGCTGGCAGAGGAGTTAGTAAAGATTTCAACCCCATCCAGACCCATCTGAATATGGGGGCTGAGGAAAGAGAAAACATTCAGTCATCAGGAGTTAGGACGGTTTCAGACAACACCCATGCAATCCTCATACAGTCTTCTGCTTCTCTACCTTCTGGGGTTCCAGAGCTCCTGGCATGTCTCAGTGCCGATGCAGGTGTCCTTTGTGGACAGCACACAGTCACCGAATGGGACTGTGTCCTGATGAGCATAAAGAAACAGGGGTTAATAACAATGACCCTCTCTCTACAAGTCTTAGCTGAACATAGATGATGATTAGGGGTGTAAGAAAATATCAGTGCACTTAAATATCACAAAATGATGTGATGTGATACTGTGTCGTATTGATGAAAATTGTTTTATTTATTTGCAATCTTTTATTTTCTTAATTTGTTTACCTAAACAAATGTATTTATCTATTTTCTACTGATAGAGGCAAATGATAATTCCTCTACTCAGACTGCACACAAAGTACTGCTATGATATTACAGGGACCGTGATAAGTACAAATGTAGATTTCACTGTTCTTTTTAATACATTTGGTAAAGTGCTCTTAATACTAAGTCAGTTTTACAAAAAATTGCTTTAAATAAAACTGCAATACAGTATATTACAATATACTGAATAGTAACCACAGTATTGTGATACGTATCGTATTGCCAGATTCTTGCCAGTACACAGCCCAAATGATGATAGGGACTGTTTGTTTATTTACCTGCCCTGTTACCTCCTGGATCATCCTGGGCAGGAAGTACTCCTCCACATGCCTTGAAGAAACAAACAAAAAGACAAGACCTTTCACTGCCATCCCTGCAATTTCCAAAAGTAAAGATAAAATCAGTTTAGTGGTCAACAAAACTGCACCAAAGTTTTGGCCTGACTTTTCTTAGCTCGTATCACTATCACCTATCATTCGTATCAGCTTTAAACTGTTGTAAGGATGTTAAGTCATGCAACCGTGGTGTAGTTAATTTATAGCCTAACATTAGCTTTTTACGTCTGGCGATTGCATTTACATTTCAAAAATCATAAAAGTGGTGCTCATTTGTGAGGTTTATCTTGAAGAACAAAATGTGTGAGTAACATAAATGTTTGTTTGCAACTGAACTTATTTTCTGCAGTAATCCAAAATCTAGTGGAAAGGTCCCACTGGCTTTTTGCCAAGGTGCGATGCTAACTTCCTCATCATGCAACAGAAAAATGTCCCTGGAGCACTATATTGCCTGATTATACTCTAACATATAAAATATCAAGTGTGAAATTCATTGCAAATGAAAGTAATGAATATATTAAATAATCTGCTTGTATAATTCTTATATCAACAATGAGTATTCTCATAAAAATGGAGAAACATTATGGTGAGAAGGGCCTCTTGACCAACCTTAACTGGTTCCAGGGAGAGAACCAGCGCATCTCTCTGTAGATCCCGTGGTTGGCCATCTGCATTTTAGGTCTGATCAGCAGGATCTTTCTACAAGATGGAAGACAAACGCTCAGTGATGATATATGCACACTGTATATGTGTATGACTGCATAAAAATAGAACAAAACAACAGGTCATTTAGTGAGACTGGACTGATGTGCTGACATACCTGTTGAGGAATAGGACCCGACAGTTGTAGCGCACATTATGATGCATGATGGGCCTGAGAGGAACAGAGTGTATCATCAGACGGGACTTCAAGCTACATGAGGTGAAATCAGACTCATCCTGCCAGTTTAAATTCGGAAATCAGAGCAGCAAATATGAAGTGTCTCAAAAGATTCAAAGTTAGTTATAAGCAGTAATTTATGGATATTTATAAAAGTCAAGAGCTCGTTAATTAATGTTATTCAAAAATGTTTAGATATTTTATGTTATTTTATTATTTAATTTTGGATATATGCTTCATATTATGTTTAATTTGGAGTGTGACTGTTGTCATTTTTTTGTAATGAAAGTACAGTAGGATAATGTAAAAAAGGGGCAGGACATGATAAGCTCTGCTTCCTCCTGTCCCCCCTCGAAAACAAATGTTTTTGTTTTTTATTTATTTTATTTTTATTGTATTTGTATGAATTATTTTACTTTATTAATGCATATAGTGTATTGCTTTTATTGAAGTAAAATAAAGATCAAATCAAATCAAATCAAATCAAATGTTCTGAACATTCCTCTCAACCAGGAGTCAGTAATGTCTGATTGTAAATAAAACTACAAATATAAAGTGTCACAACAGTTTACCTTTCATGATTTATGGTATATTGAAGCCCTTTGATATGAAATAAACTATTAAATGTTAAATAATCTGCAGAAAACAATGTGATGATAGCGTTTGTAAACCTCTTCCACTTGGCTGGGATGATGAGGGTTAACAGCTAACATTATTGTCTTCCTTCCTCTTGAGTTTTAAAGCTAGAGTGGAGATACTGGTGTCATATGAAACTAGAAGACTGGAAGAATCCACTGGTACCATGTCTAGCTAGGTCTAAGCTTTCAAATAATGTATACCATTTCTAAATGGCATCCACTGTTGGCCTGTTGTTTCCCCCTAAAGATTCCCTGCCCCCTCTAAAACAGACAGGAGTGGAGTGGAAGAGGTTAACAGGACTGTTAGACTGAATAAAGCATTTTGTGGACTGGTCTGACAGTTTGAAGGTAATACCCACATGCCCACATCACAGATGATGTCCTGGGTGACAGGAGACTCCAGAAGCTTCCTCAGGACCTGAAAGCTGTGGAGCAGTGTATCCGACTCATAGAAGTGGTCTGCACAGCCATAACCACTGTGAAAACATAAAAAGAAAGGGGACGTCAGCAAAGTAAAACTGAAACTACATCTTATAAAACCTCTGAGCTACAAGACACTGACAATATCGACTGCTGTTAAGTCCAATAGTTATAAAAATTATATTTTGGCCAAGATAACATCACAGTGTGTGAACATATTCATGTGAGTGTGAAACATGCTTTTCCCATCATACCATATCTCCAGCTCTGGGCCCAGCCTGTATTTGGCTCCATGAGCTTTCGCTATCTCGATACCTGCAGAGAGACACACAGACCAGGCAAACATTCTTGTTAGGTTTGTGTGCATTGACCAGTGGCAGAGGCAGACTCCAGCAGCTGTGCAGTGATTACGTACTGTACTTCCACAAAGTTAGGAAACTTGTGACAGACAGAGAAAAAAATGTCACTACTGAGGCAGCAAAGGCAGAAAAGTCTTGACGTGTAATCTGACAGGTTGAGTTTACAGGTACATCAGCATGAGAAGTTGTTTTTGTGGACTTAACTGCACAAATCTCAGCATTAATTGGTGGAAATTTTCATTATCTCATCAGGGAATTTTCTGGTTATCTCAGAGAGCAGAGTTAGCTCTAATGATCTGGTCAGAGGATTTAACATGGTGCAAAGCACTGGAAGGTTTTTTACAGAACCTGGAGAGGAAGGACGTTAAGGTAAGACAGTTCACACAGTTACTGCATGTTAATGGTTGTTGAATTAACTGTGAGAACATTTGACAGCTACGCACACTGATGACGTTGCACATAAGATACATTACATTATTATGCTCTTTTTTCCAGAGGATAAAAAAGAGGTGTGCAGAGTCTCTTCTCACATTCCTGTGTGGCTGATCAAGGCTAACACTTCCTGTATTGACGCTCTTTGTAAGGAGGAAAACTTTGCTGTTAACACTGCAGTTATCTAATAGGAGGTCAATTAATCAATCACAACATTTGTTCCTCGTGGGGCAACTGGTTGTGCAGCAGAAGGATGCATACAGTGGCATGTAAAAGTTTGGGCACGGCAAGACATTTGAGCGCTCTTGCTTGTTCACATTCATCGTTAGGAAAGGCCAGGTGATGCAAATGTCAAAGCTTTATGAATACTCTGACTCCTGAAACCTTGTCCCAACAATCAGCAGCCATGGGCTCCTCTAAACAGCTGCCTAGCACTCTGAAAACTAAAATAACTGATGCCCACAAAGCAGGAGACGACTATAAGAAGATAGCAAAGTGTTTTCAGGGAGCTGTTTCCTCAGATTGTGATGTCATTAAGAAATGACAGTTAAGAGGAACTGTAGAGGTCAAGCTGAGGTTTGGAAGACCAAGAAAACTTTCTGAGAGAGCTGCTCGTAGGATTGTTAGAAAAAACTCAGCAGCAGAAGTTTGCAAAGGAACATCGAAACAAGCCTGATGCTTTTTGGGAACAAGTCCTGTGGACTGATGAAGGTAATGTATAACTTTTTGGACACAATGATCAAAGGTATGTTTGGAGAAAAAACTGTTAAACACGGGGGTGGATGGATGATGCTTTGGGCTTGTGTTGCAGCCAGTGGCACGGGAAACATTTCACAGGTAGAGGGAAGAATGGATTCAGTTAAATTCCAGCAAATTCTGGAGGCAAACATCACAGCATCTGTAAAAAAGTTGAGGATGGCTTCTACAACAGGACAATGAACCTAAACACACCTCCAAATCCAAAATGTACACCCCAAGAGGAGCCAGTTGAAGGGTTTGCCATGGCCCTCACAGTCCCCCGACCTAAACATCATTAAACATCTGTGGATAGAGCTCAAAGAGCAGAGCACGAAGACGACCCAAGACTCTCACAGAGCTAGAAGCCTTTTGCAGGAAGAACGGGTGAAAATCCTCCAAACAAGAACTGAGAGACTCTGAGCTGGATACAAAAAGTGTTTAGAAGCTGTGATACCTGCCAAAGGAGGGGCTACTGAGCACTGACCATGCAGGGTGCCCAAACTGTTGCTTCAGGCCCTTTTCATTTTCTATTATTTTGAAACTGTAAAAGACTGAATTAAAAAGTAATCTTGCTTACAATATTGAAGAAATGTGTCATCTTTGATCAGCTCATCTTCTACTTGTGACCAGGGGTGCCCCAACCTTTTCTGCACACATAACTATCTATAAAATGCACAGTCAATTAAAATTAAAGTTTCACATGATATAAAGAAGTGAATGAGTCTGCTGGTTTTAGCTGGTGGAGGTGTGGCACTAATGTAACACACCTGGAGTAACATATAAGCAGGCTGTGCATACATGTAGACATTATTAATACAAACAGAAACCTGCACCTTGCAGCAGCTGCAGCTTGTAGGTGAAATATTACAGCTGTGCTAGTTTCAGAGACACATCTGTCCTTCAACAACAGTCAGACTTACTCTTCAGGATCCTCTGCAGGTTGCCTTCAAAGTCCAAAGCCCACTGGTTCAATGAGCAAGTTGCCAGAGTCACTTTCCGTCCCATGTTCACACAGTAACGTTCACGGACCAGCGGACAGTGAGAATGACACGTGATAAAACTCTGAGCCTGTACAGGTGAAGCTTTATACTGCAGCTGGAGTCACCTGTCTACCTGGCTGTCGTTAGAAAGTATGTGGACTTGACTCGACTTGATCTGAAGAGCTGCTGTACAGATTGTACGCTTTCCTCCTCTTCTTCTGTTCCTGTCAGTCTGTCAGTGAAGACGCCTCTGAGCTCATCACTGCCCCCACAGGACAGTGGAGGCATTACTTCAGTCGCCCCTGCAGCATGTAGGAGCTGCAGAGTACTTTTCTCTCCACCACATTTATTTGACAGCTGTGGTACCTGTTGCGTTTTGAAGCTTATAAAATGCAGTGGTTTTCAAGAGACAGCAGTACTTAACCTTTCTGAGATTTTGTGACCTGTAATAGAAAACAGTGTCAGTTTGGGCCTCTTGTCATGTGTCTTGTTCGCAGCTCTACCAAAGACACATTTCCTCTTTAATCTGCTCAGATGGGTTTATTTAAATCAAAGAAAAAGAGATTAAATTATCCAGTGTCTTACAACAAAGCAATGATTAGTAAAAAGACCAAAACATAATAATAATAATAATAATAAATTGGTTTTATATAGCGCTTTTCTAGGTACTCAAAGACGCTTTACAAAAGAATATGCACAGAAACAGGCACTCAAACAAAACACTCAATCAAAGGACACTCAAACAAAACATGACAACAGGTTTATGCAAAAGACCTTTGTTTTTTTTCTTCTTTCTTCTGCCATTAATCATCGAATGACCCCTCAGATTTATAGGTTGACCCTTTGAAGGAGTCCAACCTCTCAGCTGGACATAAGCATAACTAGTTAAATTTAAAATAATAAATAAATACAAAATAAATTGAATAGAAAATTTAAAAAAAAAAAAAAAAGTTATATATAATTACAGAAGTGTAACACGTTCACTTGAGTGAAAAAAATCTGCTGTTTTTCTGAATTAACAAGATTATTATCTTAAAATGATTAAAAAAAAGTTTTTTAGGGAGCAAATTCTGTTTTTTTTATTTTTCTATTTCTGAATTAACAAAATAATAATCTCATGAGATTACAAGATTATTCTCTCATTAATTCAGAAAAACAGGAGCAGACTTTTTTTCCATGTAAACTTATCTCATAATTCTGAGATAATAACTTTGTTTGCTAATTCAGAAAGACAGGGCAATATATATAATTTAATTCATATATTTTTTGTCTTGACTAAATGCATTACGCTCCTGTAAAGAACATATCAGTCACAGTCAGGGGCCGCTCTTACACAGAACCACTACTTTAACTTGTTGTGTCCTCAACTTAAAGGATAACTTCGGTATTTTTCAACCTGGGCTCTATTTCCCCATGTGTATGTGTACGTATGATTCATGGGTACAACTCGTTCTTAAATTGGTTCAGTATTGAGGCGCGAAACGAGCTAAAACGGGGCAAATGCGTCCCGTATAAAAGTGCTTTTTTTCGCCACTGACCGGTTCATATCGCCAGTGCTATCTCTGTAGATAGCATATTGTAGCGGCCCTGGGGCAGTGGTGAGTGTGAATGAGTGGAGTCAGCTGTCAGTCAGTGTTGGAGCACAAAGGCGGAGGGCTGCACCGCTGGGTACTGTAAGTGAGTATGTGTGTGAAGTGTGTGTGTTACGCTAGAAGAGTCAGAGTTTGGGACAGAGTCTTTTATGTGCTACCCCCTGGAGTGTTACCGGAGTTTTTGGAGTGCTCAACAGGATGTCGCACAACACCCCTTACAGCTTTCATAGACTGCCTTTGTCGGACGGCAAGATGCTGAAGTTGTGGCTAGTTGTGCTACAAATGGATGCTAACACTCCTGTCCAGACACTGCGCCTTGCAGACCATCGGGTCTGCAGTGCTCACTTCTCCCAAGATGACTACTGCCAGCCGAAGAAGAGAAGTCATCCAATCCCGAAACACCTCTTCCTCAAGAAAACGGCTGTCCCACGAATAGAGAGAGCTACAGACACAGTGGAGCAAAGCTCTCGCGAGATGACGTCACAGCCCAGAGGTAAGGGAAACGCTTAGTATGCTATTTACAGAGATAGCACTGGCGATCTGAACCGGTCAGTGGCCAAAAAAACACACACTTCATACACACATGCTCATTTACCGTACCCAGCTGGGCAGCCCTTCCCCTCTCTGCTCCAACACTGACTGACAGCTGACTCCACTCATAGCACTGGCGATCTGAACCGGTCAGTGGCGAAAAAAAGCACTTTTAATGCGCAAACTTATATGGGACACATTTGCCCCTGTTACTGTTTTAGCTCGTTTCGCGGCTGCCGGCTGCATCCGCCTCCCTCAATTTTAGAACGAGTTGTACCTATGAATCATACGCACATATACACATGGGGAAATAGAGCCCAGGTTGGAAAATACCGAAGTTGTCCTTTAATTCATCAGCTCTGAAATCTCTTCAGCAATATTTACACCTGTGTTGTTCCTGCAGTGACATGTCAAAAGGTCTACTGTAAAAACGCCTATTCATTTTTTATATGAATGCTTGTACATGAGCATGACGTGCCACCACACAATCATCAAATCAGTTGAACCACCATGTGAACACAGACCTGATTGTTCAACTTCATGTTCAATATTTTACACGTGACAATAGTTTTTATACAGTGAGGGCAAAGCATGAACACACAGTGAGGCCACATCGTTAAGTAATGGACTTTATTTTTCTACAAAACATGCACTTAGTGTGGACGGTGTAAATGGGTGAAAACAACATTTTGTCATCTGTCACAAAGCTAAGGGGAGGTCACAGCCATCGATGAGAGCCGACACTGTCAGTGTGTGTGATGACACTACAATCACAAACAGTGACTATAACCATCTGGTGCTTTCAAACTACTCTGGAGGAGAAACTGTCGGCGCTGCAGGTTTCCATCCTGTTCCACAGCCATTACCATCAATCACATCTTCCACTTAGCACGTTGTTGTGTCACTTATATAACCAGAGGGGTGTTTGACAAAGCAACATCACCAGTAAAGCCTGACTGACCTCAGTACATCAGGGTTTTAACCAGGAAAGTCTGTCTCACAGAAGACGTTTGATCAGTCCGCCACTTTGGTCCAGACTGAAATATCTCGACAACCATTGGATGGATTGTTACAGAATTGTGTACAGACATTCATGGATCCCAGATGATGAATCCTAAAGAGTGTTGTGATCCTTTGACTTTTTATCTAATACCACCAGTAGGTTAAATTTTCACCTGCCTACTGAGGGACTGGCACAAAATGTGATGCAGATATTCATAGTTCCTGACTAACTTCAGTGATGATCTTTAGTGCAGCCAGGTCGCCACAAGAAAATGATGGCATTGTACGTTGCTGCAAACCATTTTACATTTGTACGTTTTATATGCATCAGATCATAGCTATATGAGCTGACTTCGTCTTTGGGATGCAGAGGAGATGGTGGATGGTGGGACAGCTAAGCATGATGGCTGTAAGATGGCCATCATTCTAGAACACACAACAAAACTGACTTTTTTTAGGGTGTCATCGCTGCATTTTAGCAGCTTTTAGCCACCAAACGTGTGTTTGTGACCAGCTGCTGTTTTATCACCAAGGATAGTGCCATGAAAGTGGTGATATTTTACCAAGACATCATCACGTTTTTCATCTTGGTGAGTGCCACAGAAACACAGAGACATTACTGTGTTTCCTGCTGGGATTTTGCCACCAAAAGTAGGTCTATTAAGCCAACAGCCAATTAGCCAACATTGTCTTTTCCCAACCATAATCAAATGGTTTTTGTGCCTAAACGTAACCACAGGTTAATCCCAGTGTTTTTGAAACATAAAGAAATTAAAGTTTTATCATATTTGCTGCACAATAACGTACAAATGTAACCTAACTGTGGTTTGCGGAAACATATAATTCCAACATTAAAGGTCTTTGCACACAGACTGTTTTTTTTAATTGTCTGAAATTCTTGCACGTCTCAAAAAGATAAATACAACCTCACATTGTGTCAATCATGTTTGCACACTAAGTCCGAAACTTTCATCTGTCGTTTTGGAACAGCTTTGTTTTGTTGCATCCGTCAGAGCCTTCAGAGACGTTTGACCAAGAATCAGTGAGGAAAATGAGGCAGTGGGACACAGCTGGGACAAGACAGAGGAATGGGATGCACAGAATCTTTTCATAATTCAGACGGCTACTTTCAACAAGTCAGGTGGATGATGAGGAAGAGGAGGATGTGGACCACACACAGAATGCGGAGGACAGCTCCGCCCCTTCATGCAGCTGCTGTGTCAAATGTAAGACAGGGAGGGATGACGGTCAGATAGGTAACTACAGTGGAGAGAGGCAAAGGAGGAAATGTGTCTTTTCATTTTGTGTCATGTTGCAAAATTTTGCAGCGATAAAACACATCAGAATCAGTGTGCAACGATTTCTTTTGGATGCAAAATTTCAAAAGTGCAGACTCAGGGTGCAAAGGCATTTATTCTGGTGACTGTGCTGCACTACTGCCACCAGCAGGATGACATTTGTGGTTCAGAGTGAAATGTCTCGACAGCTTTTGGATGGGTTGCACTAAAATTTGGTCATTTATGCTCATACTGTTATAAATTTGCAGATATTTGGTCATAAATCAATCAGCTGTACTTTGAGTTTAGTGCTTATTTGCAAATGTTAGCAGACGGTAAAAATGGAAATCAAAACCTGTCCAACATTAACAGGTTAACATTGTTACTGTGGGTGTCACAGCACTCTGATACTAGAAGCACTGCTGTGCTCTCAGTCTGAGACTCAGGTCTGGTTTCTTTTGCTTCAGGCGATTCAAATGATTAAATTAAAGGTAATAATTTTCGCCTTAGTGAAAATTTTCATCATTTTATCTTGTGTAAATTACAGAAATGAAACAGATGCACATAAATACTACCATCCAAATCACTGGAGAGACAGACAGCCAATCTGAGGGTGTTAAAAACTACACTGTCACCATACAGAGGCTGATATGTCACGTGGAAACCAAACACTGTAACATAATTCAACTCAACTTTTCTTCCTGTTTTCTGTTTGACATGTGCCGCTCTGTTTCTGTGAACATCACAGTTCGGTTTTACCTGTTTCCTTTACTGATGTGATCTGTGCTTGATGTTATAGGCCTGTGTTTCAGTCTGACCTCAGCAGCTCTGACTCAACCTTTATGAAACAGTTGTATCCTGGTTCAGTTTGTTGAGCTCACTCATGACAGGCTTTTCTGAGCTGCCTTCATGAAACACCTCTCTGCAGGACGCTACAGTTTCTTTACAAACAAACACAAACAGCAGTGTGGATGAACAAAGAGGATGTGACTGTGATTCATCTAAGGCCAAAAAGATTCATGCTGTGAGAGGGGACAGAGTGGTAAATATGCTCTTGTTGTTCACCCAGGTGCAGATTTACGTGTGAGGAGCCACACCGACAAAGTGTGGACCTGCTGTCATCTGCTTGTTCAAACATTACAAGGTACAAAAAAGTGGTGTCTGCATTTTAAATGAACACACGTTGCAATAATCCCTCGTGTCACACTCTCTCTCTCTATCACACTCACACACACTCCATATGAAATAAATAGCAATATGTACAAAACTCAAGTTACACAGTATGCAAGTACACAAAACACATCTACACACAATACACAACTTACATCATGTAAACAACCAACAAAACTCTTAGCCCTGTCATGTTAAAAACCATGAAGTATGAAATGTAAGGTGTATAAGGATTCCAGCATTAATCGGGCTAAGTCAGATCTAGACACAATCCAGATACGAGGCATTTCACGATGGTGTAAAGGTGGTCGGTGTGTTCCAGGACGTCACATTGCTGTGGTTAAATCTCCGCTGTCATATTAACAATCTTAAACCCTTATGACAGAATCAAAAGGCAGCAATCAGAGGATTTCTCCCATGAAAACATAATCCAACCGCTCTTGTTCTGGCAGCCCGTCCTTCCTGGCATGCTAATCAACTTCCTCCCACCACCACCTCACCTCTAAAGTACCAACAAAATGAAAAGCGAAGTTCTTTGTCAGCCGAAGTGTAACAGAAGGCAAAGGCAGGCTGTCGCAAAGTCAAGCTGCCTTGATGAAAGAAAACAGGATCTGCTTTTCTTTTCTTTCTCCTTTGACAACCTCCATAACAGAAATCTTTGGGGCAGGTAAAAGTGAAGTTTAAGGTTATGATGGTGAGACTGAAAATACATGACCCGAATAATCATTCATGCTGGAATGCCGTAAGAAAATGAAAGCAGATATGTTTCAGCCATACAAACAAGGGTCAGATGTGGATGTAGGTCAGTGTCCTCCCAAATTATGATACACTTTGACAGTAAGGGCTGTTTCATAGTCAATGCACGCAACGCGAGCAAGCGACGCGAGCAACGCACTTCCTTTCATAGTCAACACATTGAACTCAAGTAATGAGGGCGACACTTGAAATGCAATACATCGCTTGCACAATAGAGGGTAGCAGAGTCGCCGGTACATTCCAGTTAGCTAGTACTGCTATTTTATTACAGTGCAGGGCACTAGAATTATCATAAACGGGGGTTTGCCCGTAGGAGTTTGCAAAGTTGTTCCTCCTCGCCCGCCATATTTCATACCTGCTTCTTCTGTGAATAACAAAAAGTGCTTATTTTCAAGTACGTCGCTTGCATTATCACCCTGCTGGCAACGCGTGGTATTACACGCGTCGCTGCATCGCATATCAAAAAACATGGACAACACATTTTGAGACGCAAGCACGCATCATGGCGGCCAATGCATCTCGATGCGTCCCAATGCGCTTGCGTCTGCGTGCCTTTGCGTGGAATGAAACAGCCCTAACAGAGTCGATCAAAGATGCATCATAGAAAGAGTTTGAACATCTAAGGGCTCATTTATGCTCAACTAAAGAGATGGAGGGGGCCTGCTGTCTGTACTCTGTGCTCATTTCATCTGTATTTATGTAAGTTTTCTGAAAGCTTACAGATGTGGACGAAACAGATCAGTGCCACTGGAGATCTTGGAGGCAGTGTAGCATAGTTCAAACAACATACAACCACAGGTGACGACAAAGAAATTTAAATAATGGCGGAAAAGAACTAATTGATAATACAGTGAAAAGAATTCTCCATCCACGATGACCACCACCGTTTAAAGGTATGAAATTACAACCTCCTCCAGTGTCATCTCATTTGTTGTGTGAAATTTTTGAGTCTGCCCTCTAGTGCCATCTATGGGCTGTATCTATGCTATCATAAAAGACACATGGAAGTGTGAGGGCATTACCTTTGCAACAATGGACGTGTCTATTTTTGTACCTAAAGTGAGTATAAATGAGCCTTAAGATGCTAATGATGCTACGCCCCCTTGTGGATGAGGACATTACTGAAGGACAATTCTGGTTTCTTACTAACTTGGGTCTTAATTTTGTACTTTCAGAAATGTTTAAATTTTTAACTTGAATCTTGTATTTACTAAAATAGAGATGTCAGAACATGGCGAGTTTGGCAACAGAGCAAAAATACAAATCAAACAAACTTAAATTTAGATGATCAGACAGGTTGTTAACAAACCAAATGTTTAGCCAAAACCAGAAAGAGAGGCAACATAAATGAATGTTGTTATTAGCTCCTGATTCAACAGGAAAACTGTGTGTGCACAACTAAAGAAGAGTTCTGCCTGGGCCATTACTCAGATTTCACCTGCATCTGTCACACCTGACCTGGCTGACACCTATTCACATTTGAGACCTACATTTACTTTGTTTTTATTTTATTCCATTCATTGCTGACTGTCGACATCTGCTGTCTCTAATGCTGGGTTCAGACTTCACAATATCGACATCATTATATCCCAACCCAACAGACGCAGGGTGTCGGCTCGAGTCAGGAATGAAAATGGGCGTCGGGCCCGACAATCCATCATTTTATCCTGTCTGGTGTGTCATAGTGGATGACACTATGTCCCAACAGAGAGAGTAGCATGTTGCAATTTTTTTTTGCACAGCTGTAAACATGGGAGAAAGAGGGATGATGTTATTGGTGGCGTGAGGTGGAACTGTGAAACAGAGAGATAGTCACAGTCATTTTTTTTCTTTCATTTTAGAGGCTCGTTTACATTTAAGGTGCAGTCTGTCACGTCAAGAATTTATGACTCTAACAGTCTAAACTGACACGACCATTGTAACACACAAAAAAACATGTGATCTGAACCTGGCAATATGTGCAATATGAGCATCTTCATTTTCTCTTTGTAATAATTTGGGCTAACCTGGAGGTTTGTTTACGGCCTGTCTAATCCTCTGACTTATTGTGTTTCTTGCTCTGTCCGCCTCCTTCTGAGCGATGTTGCTGTGTTCCCAGATCTCATTATTTAAATGATGGCTAAAACTCTGCAAATGAGATTCATGTTGCAATAAATAATAATAAACAAAGAATTATCCCTAAAGACCATCTGTCTCCCAGACTGACTGAATGGAGGCAACAAAAGGTTTGAAAAAGGCCATGTACATGAAGCTGAGGAAACCATTACAGAACCAGCCGTGACACTACCCGTCTGCTGATTACACTGGTAGAACATCTGGATTTCTATTCCACAGTTAGTTTTTCCCTTGTTGTCACATCATAGGGTACGAGAGTGGTCCAAGTGCCCCTTGAGCCTTGTTTCCACCAAACAGTTCAGTTCACATTAGAGCAGTTATTTTTGCGTTTCTATTGTCAAAACTTGTGGATGGAAACACTGTAATCTGTTGATTTGTCCAGAGACAATCCTCACTCTTGCTCGACAAGGACTCAAAGGACAAACCCACTATTTTTAAGCAACTCACTGATGGCGACCTAAATAATGCGGCCATTATTGCAACAAAGACTAAACACTAAATCCTTTTCTATTTAATAATGAAAATGTCGATATGCCACCAGGTGCAGACACACCTCTGCATCGTCAGTAATGAGGAGAACCACGCCTCCATTTAAGAGTGCTGTCAGATCTAGAGTTTAGCTACATGTCTGTACGGGTTATGTATCGGTTCTAGGGGTACTATACCAAAAGTGTTTGGTGGAAGCATGGCTTGGGTTAGCTCAATAGCTCTGGTTGGTCCAAGTGCCCTCTTCAGGTTGGTCTTAATTTTCCCATGATGTGCTCAAGTGCTGCTCTGGTGTGACTCTTGGGTAATATTTAACCATGATGTGCCTGTAGCTCAGTGGGATGATTCCATGTTCCATGATTCATTTTTGACCTGATGTCACCTATCATGTCGGAAAAGTGAGGCACCAGAAGAGCCCCTGTCGGCAGCCCAAGTTCCCCCATGTTCCCCTTCCCCCTGATGCTCCTCTAGTTCAGCTTCCACTCAGGTGTGACGTTAGTGCAGAAATGAGCCCCGGCCTTGTGGGAGGAAGAGATGCCCCTGACCATTACAGAATCTATGAACGCCAATGTGTTTCCCATTTCAGTGTTAAGGGTTTTGTCGCTCTTGTAAGAAATAAATTAAGGAAAAAAGAGCATCTGGCATTCAAGGGGTCATATGTAAAGACACTGAATATCAGTTAATGGCAGAATCAGTCCAAATGTATCATCATATATCTGTTGACCTCTACACTGTAATTCCCTCTTTGACATCTAACCCTTAAATAACCTAAGAAAAAAACAGGGCTGTGCAAATATAGCTCAATAAAAGCATGTGGCTACTAGGAGGTGGAATAGGATACATCCCTAAGAAAGTCCGCAGCTCTAAGGGTGAATATCCAGTTCAGTACAGGAGCCAATCCATAAAAATGAATCCAATCACAGTTTCATTCCACGGTTCAGAACCTCTGCACAGCAAACAGATCCAGTAACTGCAAAGTCAGTTATCAGCGAAATCAAAGGCATTGATCCAGATGCGGATGTACAGTGAAATGATCAAGTGTTCTTCAGACAAGTGTGTCAGCTGGCACTGGCACGCTGGGAACTTTCCACCAGGGAATCCAAGATGTCAGTATATTTCCGATGATAGCACAGTCCATGTGGTGCTATTAAGGCACCATGCAGTCCCCGTCCACGCAGTATTCAGTGAAACACCCTGGGCTTTATTGACGTCAATCCCATGGCAGCCATTTGGAAATTGTGTCACTCAGAGGGTGAGAAACTCATCAGAGCCAGTATTTCTAGTCCTACTGTAGTTTGAACTAAATCACAGATTACTTACTAAAAATATATCAAATCTATCTGGGCAGCTTGGTGACAAGATAGGTTTGTGATCAGCATTGGCTAACAAAAGCAAAGTGTTGTTTCACTTCACAATGTTGTAAAATATGCCATCAGCTGTATCTCACACTGACAGTGATTTACTATTTAAATCAGAATTTCAATAAAAACCTGTAGGTTAAATTCAGTTAAAAAATAATCCCTATAAATTATTCTTATCGGCTTTTCACCCTGCCTTTGAGAGTGGACATTAAGAACAGATGGAAACACTTAGACCTGGTTAGACATATAATTCAACTTAGGTTGTTTAAAGCGGACTGAGAGCCTCTGATAGATGCCAGTCTGCCAGAGTTTCTCACCCTGAGTGTGGAAAAACGTCAAATATCCCCCATCTACTGTGGAAGTGTAGGAGCTGCAGTCATGTAAGGAAGCTCAATCTCCTCGCAGTCTTCTGCTGAATTTAGTTTCACTTCCTGCTTTCTGCATTCAGCATGGTCTGTGGGCCAGTGTTAGTCCCGCCCTTCTCCTGTGAGGTGTAACGTTGGGCTGTAAAACTAATGTAAGCAGGGACAGTGTGTGTCTCTTTCAGTGTGTGTGAGCTCTGTGTGCCTGCATGCATGTGGATATGCGTGTGTCTCTGTCTGCATCTTTTCAAATGTCCACATAGTCTGAGTGTTTGTGTCACTGTCCGGGGTAGGTGGGGTAGTGTGTCGGGGAGTGTTTGTGTATGTGCGGCTGGGACTGTGCGTGTGTGTTTGCCAGGGGCAGCGTGGCTGGGCGGTCGGGAGGCAGGCGGGTGGACAGCAGGTCATCGTCTGAAGCATCACCTACAGACACACAAACACACAGCCGTTACTGAAGCACAAGCCAGATACAATGTGTTCATCAGTGAGCTTTAGAGGTGCTGACAGGTGTGCTGTTTCACTGTGGACAGAGTGATGCTTGCTGTTTCCCCCTGCCTACAGTGTTTTTGCTGAGCTGGGCTAACAATGTCCTGACTCCAGCTCCGTGCTTAACACTCAGACACAAGATTGATATTGCTCACTCTCAGAAAGGAAGCCAATAAATGTAAATGGTTCAACTATTATTTTAACACTGGATATAAGATTGAAGTCACCATCATTTTTAAAAGATGGCTACATGTTTTTAATCACCTGAAACAAAAGGACCTTTTTATTCAGTAAGAAGCTGTGAATCAAATTATTGGAAAGAATAACTCATTAATCTAACCCAGTACACAATCTGTTTTAACCCAGCTGGCACCGGACGCCATTCTGATGTCAGACAGACTTTGGACTCTAAGGCCCCGATCACACAGAAAGAGTTTTAGCAACTGGAGGCTTTTTGCTCGTGCTTTTATGTGTTGTGACGCACCCTGCATTTCTGCGGTCTAGGTGCCTGGGGTTTTTTCCAGAGCGTTCTGAACTCCTCAAGTTGAAAAAACTTAAACTCAGAGTGGAAAAACGCCCCACGTCATCTCTTTTTTGTCCTTTTTTTCCATTGTCCAATCAGATGATTTGAGAAGCGGGCCTTCTGTGGTGGTTATTACAATAGTTTCCAGTTGGTAAACAACAGGGGAGAAACTGGTGGTAGCGGCTGCTGGATACCCAGAGCTATACGGCCCGACGATAGACAGCAGGTTGTCAAACTGCCCCTGAGTCATCCTAAAATATGCCTGGAAACGTCCATCATGGAGGAGAAGCTCCTGGACCAACTGGTGGTACTCCCCATGATCCAGCCTCTTTTTTAGGGTCTCATGTACCCACACAGATCTCTGTTTATCTGCTGACAGCCTCTCACCCTCAACCAGAGCTACAGACAGTACCCTCTGCCTCAACATGTCAGGAACTCGATACTTATTACTGTGGAAAAAAAACAACTCTATAAATGCTTTCTGTGGGATCGTGGCCAAAGACTGGACAGTTGTTAAATTTTGGCTGGAATGAAATCGGGTTGATATTATTTTAAAGGTCTAAATATGTAAGAATTTCACATTGTATGTATGTTCGCATTAAGACGTTTTGTAGGTTTTGTTCTCCGCACCTTAAGGCTGAATGTCGGTCATCTATGTCAAGATGACGTTGGCATGAGACATTTGGAAGAAATTGGATTCTGGTCACTTAACAACACAGCTTGCAACCAACAATATATCAATGTCATCTGTCGTCAGTATTCTACATCAAATAGGCGATAGATGTTGTCCTGACATTGAAGTTCTGGTCACCAGATGTCACAACCTAAATTCAACCAAATATCAACGCCTAACAGTGTTGGTGGCCAGCTGGGTGTTGCACTAGTTGTATTTTAGTTTCTATCTAAATCTTGACCAGATTACATTAAGTGTATTTAAATGAAAGAGGCAAAACTCAACATACATGAAGGGTTAATTCTGATTTTGGTGTGTGTCACCTCTACTCCAGCTGCCAGCAGAAACCAGGAAATTAGGTACAGGCCCAATTAAAATAGACTGGAGGGGAAACTGGATGTTGTGGTTTTTCACTACACATATAGTAAACAATATCATGCCTACATAAGATTAAAAAAAACTGACAAAATTGTTTAGATGCCAGTGTGGGACCTACCACTGCAAGGATCCATGCCGGTCTGGTTTCCAGTGATGTGGTGCCAGTAGGCAGATCGGGGCAGGATGGCGGTGGGGGTGCAGGGGTAGGATCCAGGCTCTGAACCCATAGACATCAACTGGGGGTCATAAAGACACAACATCAGGACTTTAAAAAAGGGGACAGCAGATGAGTCATTACAATTCCATTATTCAATTAAAGCTGGGGTAGGCAGTTTCATTTTAGTGTGGGATGTTAGCGCAGCTCTCACCCTGCTGTTCTTCTCCATCTCCAGCAGGACCTTCTTGTGCTGCTCTGCGATCGCCAGCGTAGAGGAGTGAACCCTCTGGTAGATCTGCTCTCCCTCTCTGGTCTGGAAGGTGTAGAGGCCTTCGCCGCTGTCACACATCCTGCACACATAACACGACCTCAGTATGAAGCTAGTGTACAAAACAACACAGGCTGGCCGGTACAATATAATGGAGGAGTTTACAGTCTGGACAACCTTAATGAGCTCCTTCCACACCTAATAGGTCCAGAACAAAGAAAATCTGAATACTGTAGCAGTAGCAGTTTTTTGAAACACTACTGTGTTCCTTGTGTTTGTCTTTTTGTGACTGATGTTCTTTAACTGTTCTTATGAGGGTGCAGGAGATGATAAATTATCCATCTTATGTTACTGGGAGTTTCCAGAGGCAGCAAGTCGCACTAGATGCCCCTGATTTGCATAAAGTAGCCTAGATTCACCTTCATGAAAATGAGGAGCTGACAACCCGTCTCTTGAAATCCAATACCACAAATCCTGAAAGACATATGCCATGATGAATTTGCCTGTTGGGTTCAGTTTGTTTCAGGCAGTGTGAATGCTGTCAATCAAACTCTGGTGTGGAACAAGTGGAGGGTTGATACATCACAAAGTATAAAGGAGTTAAACAGAGGTTTATTGAGCTTGTCTCCTGCTCTGTACTTTAACAATTAACACAAAAGTAAAACTTAGAGGGCACTCAGGAATTATACTTTCTGATATAACAGTGTCCTTTTTCTACTTGTTTGTTATTATTGTTAAAATGAACTTGAGCTTTGACTAATAATAATCAGATCAATAATCAGATGATGTGTTTCTGTTGGCTTCATCACACCGTGACCTCCAGCATGCACTAGAGCGTTTTGCAGCTGAACGTGAAGCAGTTGGAATGAGAGTCAGCACCTCCAAGTCTGAGGCCATGGTCCTCTGTCGGAAACCGGTGGTTTGCCCTCTCTCCAGGTTGGGGGAGAGTTACTGCCTCAAGCGAGGGAGTTCAAGTATCTTGGGGTCTTGTTCATGAGTGAGGGTAGAATGGAGCGTGAGATGGATTGGCGGGTTGGTGCGGCTTCTGCAGTGATGCGGGTGCTGCGCCGGTCCGTCGTGGTGAAGAGGGAGCTGAGCCAGAAAGCAAAGCTCTCAATTTACTGGTCCATCTACGTCCCAACCCTCACCTATGGTCATGATCTCTGGGTAGTGACTGAAAGAATGAGATCGCGGATACAAGCGGTGGAAATGAGTTTCCTCAGAAGGGTGTCTGGGCTCAGCCTTAGAGATAGGGTGAGGAGCTCTGACATCCGGAGGGAGCTCGGAGTAGAGCCGCTGCTCCTTTGCGTCGAAAGGGGTCAGTTGAGGTGGCTCGGGCATCTGATCAGGATCCTCCTGGGTGCCTCCCGCTGGAGGTGTTCCAGGCACGTCCAACTGGTAGGAGGCCCAGAACACGCTGGAGGGATTACATATCTCATCTGGCCTGGGAACGCCTCGGGGTCCCCGGAGGAGCTGGAAAGTATTGCCGGGGCGAGGGATGTCTGGGGTGCTTTGCTTGGCCTGCTGCCCCCGGATAAAAGGATGAAAATGGATGGATGGATAATCAGGTGAGACTAGTGAGGTTAAATAAACTTATCCAGGGTGTCAACATGCATCAAACACTTAAACTTAATGCTTTTTAAGACCTTTTCAAAAACATTTTTAACCATATTTAAGACTGATTTTCGACAGATAATCATTTTCTTATTCAAGCATTGCAGGTAATAATGGAAAATATGGTCCTGTGCAGAGGAAGGTTTTATGTAGATGTATGGTTATTTGAGTGAGTTGGGTTAATCTACATTTTACCAGCAGGTAGGTGCAAGTATAAAGTAAAAATTCAATTTTAGGTTCATTTCAGAAATGTGGAACTCCACGCAGAAAAGCTTGACTCGTTTTCATAAAAAGAAATTAAAAAATGGATAAATTAAATAAGATTTTTGTGGCAATTGAGACCTCATAAAGTCAAATTTAAGACTATTAAATGACTTTAAAGATCTGATATTTACAACATTGAATTTAAGACTTTTTAAGAACCTGCAGACGCCCTGTCATCAGTTTCAGTAAAGTGCTGCGACCTGCTGTCTGCCACCACTTCCCCACGAGTCCAAGACGCAGTGACTATGCAGGATGACAACACCAAAACTGTCCATTGAATGAGGTACCTGTCATTCCGTATGATTTCATGCTGATAACTCTTAATTTGTTTGCAAAAACTCAGTAACAGGGAACTCAGAGTCATATTCCACTTGATCCAACTCTTCATCACACAGTCTACACCATGTAAATGACCAAAAGAACAAGTGCCCTTCTGCACAGCATCAGATGACCTCGCAGTTTGGTGGCTGTGACTATCACTGAGTCCTGAGGCGCTCTGATCATCAATTCAAGAGCCATTAACAGCAAACTTACTCATTTAAAATGGTCTGTTTCTATTAAGTTGTACTTAATGCACATTACTGTGTCCATATTGCGAGGCCAGTAATAAATGTTAGCTTAATGAAATTAAATGGCAGTAAAGGAGCTAATAATGAATACATTACAAATGAGACAGTGTTTGAGAGTGATGCAGTACAGCAGAGCCGCAGACAGAGGGCTCTCTTGTTACTTTGGATTGTTTCAGAGTCACACTCACACACATACACACACACACACACACACACACACACAATTATCTGCATGCTGACCCAATCATAGCTCGTCAGGTTTTATCAAAGAGGAGGAGATAAGGAGGTCCGACCCAGCATTGATTCATCGTCTAATCTATTCAATCAATCTCTTCAGAGAGGGAGAGACAGAGGGAGAGAGGGGTATCCTTGGACTGACCGTAAGCGGACTGACAACTACACACACACACACTTTGGTTGTGAGTTACAATAAAGCGTTTCATCTTAAATACACACTGCTATAACAAAGGATGTGTCGTCCCTTACATGATGCTAATCTTACATGTGTGTGGCATCCCATGATGTATGTGACCTATGTGTATCAGCCATCAAACATCTCCCCTCGCCCTCCCTCCCTCCAGCAGCCATCCCATTTCCCGTCTCACCGTCCGGCCTCGAAAGTGAAGCGAGTAGCATCACGTCCGTAGCGCCGCAGGGAGCACAGCGGCCAGGTGACCAGCTTGGTGCGTGGGTTGTGAATGTCCCACAGGTAAATGTTCTCGTGGGTGATCTGCATCATGCACTCGCCGTAGATGTCCAGGTTGGGACAGGGGAGGAGGAACACGTTGAAGCGCTCTGAAGGAGATAAAGGAAGAGCAGCAACAATGTCAGAGACGTACTGTCAGTGGAGTCTGAACTGCTTAAGGTATTTCACCAACATGTTTCCAGTTTCTTAGTTTAATAGGCATCTAAGAGCAGAGCTGTTATTAAGGCAATGCATTATTTGTACATGACATTTCAGCAATAAGGCAGTTCACGGTGCTTTAAATCAGACATAAAGGCTGTAAGAGAAGAAACATGAGGCAATATAAAAAGACAAACATGATTTAAAACAGAAATAAATACAACAAGAAAAATTAAACAGGAAAAGTAAAATAGAAAAAATAAATTAGCCTAAACAGAATGAGACAATGAAACCAGGAAAAAAAAGTGGTGCACAGTTAAAGTGCAGCGTATGTGATATGAATAAATAGTCCTAAATTGAATTGAATAAAAAGCAGTTGCAAACTGGTCTAGATGGCTGAGAGTTGAGATAACCTGATGTAACCTCAGGTGTTCTGGGGACTTTGTCTGAATATTTGAATATTACTCTGAGAGGTCTGGATCGCTCATGACGGAGCAACAATTCAGAAAAGTACTTTGGCCCTGAACCATTCAGTGCTGCTTTTAAAGCTGCTCAAATCAGTATTTCTACTTTGACAATTGGTCACATGACTGTGTGTATTGTGAAAAGTAGGTGACAACAACATCAAATTTAGCCCTCATGAGGCTTTGACAGAGTTTCTGCAACTCAGTGGAGGCTCACAGGACGCAATACTGAGCGCTCACCAAATTACTGTTAGTTTAGGAAGAACAGCAAACACAAAACAAAACAGGATCTCAAGGTGCAGCCAGGGGAGGAGGGTGTCCGGTTTGGTGACCTCAGTATTTCATCTCTGCTTTTGCAGATGATGTGATTCTGTTGGCTTCATTGCACCGTGACCTCCAGTATGCACTGGGGTGGTTTGCAGCCGAGTGTGAATCGGTCAGGATGAGAGTCAGCACCTCCAAATCTGAGGCCATGGGCCAGACCCCCTCCAGGTTGGGAGTGAGTTGCTGCCCTAATAGAATGAGTTTGAGTATCAGGGTCTTGTTCAGGAGTGAAAGTAGAATGGAGCATGAGATGGATCGGCAGTTTGGCACAGCGTCTGCAGTGATGTGGGCACTGTGCCGGACCTTTGTGGTGAAGAGGGAGCTGAGCCAGAAGGCAAAGCTTTTGATTTACTGGTCCATCTACGTCCCATCCCTCACCTATGGTCATGAGTTTTGGGTAGTGACCGAAAGAATGAGATCACGGATACAAGCAGCTGAAATGAGTTTCCTCCGTGGGCTTTCTGGGCTCAGCCTTAGAGATAGGGTGAGGAGCTCAGACATCCGGAGGAAGCTCAGAGTAGAGCCGCTGCTCCTTCGCGTCAAAAGGGGTCAGTTGAGGTGGTTCGGGCATCTGATCAGGATCTTCCTAGGCGCCTCCCTTTGGAGGTGTTTCGGGCACGTCCAACTGGTAGGACCCAGAACATGCTGGAGGGATTACATATCTCATCTGGCCTGAGAACGCCTTGGAGTCCCCCAGGAGTAGCTGGAAAGCGTTGCTGGGGAGAGGGACGTCTGGAATGCCTTACTCGGCCTGCTGTCCCTGTGACCCAGCTTCGGATAAGCGGTTGAAAATGGATGGATGGATGGATGGATGGATACAGCAACCGCCTATTTAGCTTTGACTATGGACGGAAAACCAAACAAAAATGTGTCATGTTGTTTAGAGGAATATATAAACATATAATTTAGAGCATATAAAATATGTAAATTTAAAAACCGTAGCTTTCAGAAATCGTTTCCAGCGATTCAAACGTTTTTTTAAAAAGCTGCATAAAGAAAAAAACCCACATCATCATCTTCCTCTTTTTTTCTGTCCAAACACACTGCAGCTTTTGTCACTGCCAGCTTCATTTGACCAGGGGAGGATGTTACAGACAGACAGACCTCTACTCTGGGGCATCGGTGGCTTAGTGGTAGAGCAGGCGCCCCATGTACAAGGCTGTTGCCGCAGCGACCTCTACTCTATTACACACATTTTCATTTCACCTGCCAGTTTGAGCTTCAGCAGCAGCAATAAGAATATGATCCCTCACTGGCTTCCCACCCACCAACACTATCAGTTGTGTTTGATGGACAGTCAGTCTGAATCTGGAGGCCGTGAACTAATCCACAGATCTGCAGTGGGGGCAGCACAAGTTTGAACTGTATGTTGAGATTTTACTCTGTATGTTTTATTCTCTGTGTGATTTACCTGTGTGTTCACACTGTACTCCTGCAGCCAGGAGGTCGGGCTCTCCCATGCTGATGTCGTTGAGCCGTGTGCCAAGACACTCAATCGACAGCGTCTTAAACCAGTCCTCTGCCTCCAGCTCTGTAGAGAGAGAGAGAGATCACGTCAACTAGAATCAAGATCATTCTTGTAATGAAGACGTTAAATGGTGAAATGATGAAGTCTCCTCAACTGGCAGATATTCTGAGACTAATGATGAACACTGAAAACAGTTTTATCCCACTCAGTTGTATTGTCATGAATCAGTCTTGCTGGGTGCAAACAGTTACTACTGTTCAAGGCCAGAGTCTGTTGAAACTGGTGATGTGCTTTACATTCTAAAACCAACCACCAATGATTTGACCAGCTGAGTTGTAGGTGACACCATCAGCCGGCTTAAGTTGAGCTCAGACCAGCCAGTTCACACTGCGGCAACTTTTCTCTTCATTCTAAAACAGTTTGGTCTCGTCATGAATCATTGGTCTGAACTGGGCTAAAAATTTCCTTCTTGATGTTGGAAATAGTGTTTGACATTAAAAAAAATCTCATCTCAGTTGTGTGCTGGAACAGTTTCTTTTTGAACAACAGCTGGGTGGACTGACTGTGTTCAAGTTCCTGAAGTCTTATCATCACAGTGAGGTTGTCAAGTGTGTTTCCACTATGAAGGTGTGTTTTGCAGTGTGGAGGGTAAGTTTACGGACAAGTGTGTGTGTCCATGCATTACCTGATTCACAGGTGAAGGTGCGCGAGGTGTCGTCTGTAAACACAATGGCCACTGCCTGTCTCTTGGTATCGCGAGGCAACCGCGTGACATTCTTGACGTTGCTAATCTCTGTCACCTAGGCAACAGGTAGAAGATAAAATGGTTAACAAAGTGGAAATCAGAGCTGATTAACTTACTCGTTACTGTTTGATTTACGTGACGTCTATGTTCAAACTGAAATAATGACTTGAATAGAAGTTCAGTGGATAATCAGATTTGCTGGAGGAGTTACTTTATCTTGAATATATCCCAAAATATACAGCTTATTTTAAACTATACATTCATCAGCATGCTGTGAGGCTGAAAATGGTAAATCATAGTTTTATTATAGTGTGAGGAGTTATTTTTCAGCATCCAGTATTCTGTCAGTAACGATGATTGACAAGGTTAGGTGACTTGCAGTTGAAGCACTTCCAAGGGTTAGCCAATTCATTGGATTGTATGAAATAACACTACTGTTCTGTACAAAACAGAAACCTTCAGTCAGACTTCTTAAATGTTCTATAGTTGTGCAGAACAGTAAATGTACAGGGGAAAAGATAAAGACAAATAGAGCAAAGTCACTCTACAACTTCACTTTAAGTCCGCTGGTGTGTTGAAGGACGATAAATGAAGGAGTGTGAAAGTAGGAGGTCAAGTGAAGGGGAGGTGATGATGATGAAGAATGAAAGATGAGTGAGTTTCGAGAGAGAAACAGAGTGAGGAGAAGAAGAGAAGAAGAAGGAGGACTGTTGATTCTCGCTGAGCTCAGAAGCACAAGAATCAGACTTTAATGTGAAGGCTGACTGCTTTCATCCCTGTCAGTGTGTCTGTCAGCTCTTTAGCTTTGGTTTTCTCCTGCTGAACAGAGTATACCTGTCACACACACACACACACACACTCACACACACACACACCTTAGGAAAGGCTCTGATGTAGGCAGACTTCTCATCAGGGTATTTCTCCAGACGTCGAGGTCCTTTGCTGGATGACTTCTTGAACACCAGCCAGCAACGCCGATAGATCTGTAATATAAACGCACGCACAGAGATCCACTTTTATTTTTGTCAGAAACAGCGAGTTGATCAAAAACCAAACCTTTTGTGACAGATCAAAAGTAAGTACTGTACATCAACACACACACACTCATGATTTAAAGAAAAAATATATTTTGTTGCAGCTTTTGTCGTCTTGTTTTTGTAGTTTGAGCCATCAGTTATTCCAGCTGTAATAATACTGTACTCATCAGAAACTTCACCAAGATTTCAGAATGTGGTGAAAGTGCTAAAAACAGGTCCAACAGGGCAACAAGCGTGAACTGTCAGACAGTCAAACAGCTTGTAAACAAGGTGACAGTTGTGCAGCACAAAACACAAGCATGAGGAAAACTTCTTCATCAGTTTGACAAAGCATCATTGTAATAGTTCTGTGACGCAGTGAATAACCACTGCTCAGGAAAATGTCCATTCTAAGTTATATAATGACCACAAACTCAGCTAAGTTTGCAACATAGCTGGTGCAACAGCCTGCAGAGCAACAAAGAGTTTTCAGTGCCACTATGTTCATCACTAGGGGTGGGCGATACAGCCCTGAAATAATATCATAATATTTCAGGAATTACGACAAAATAAGTGATATAGTTTTACAGTTTTTCTTCAAATATTCAGTAAAAACTAAATTGATCTCTCATTTCTTTAGTTTGTGAACAACAACAGTAACTCAGAGTGAGATTCAGATTCTGTTACAATATTAATAGTTCAACAAAATAAAATCTACCACAAATTACACATTTAAACAGCTCCTAAATACAAAAAAAATGTCCCCTGGGATCTATATGTATAAATCAACAGATGATTTTCTTCTTTTAGTAAAATCCTAAATGACTGAGCTGGACCTTTATGCTCTGCCATTTCTCCTCTAATCATCACGCTGTAACCTGTGACAGGCTGTTATGATACCACAACTATCACACAGTCACAGATATGGAGTTTTTTCACGTAGGTTTACATTACCAAAGGTTTATGACAAAGTCACGTGATGCACGGGGAGAGAGGAGAGGGAGAGACGCTGTGCTGCTGCCAGAGGAGCCGCTGAATGAGTTCCCTCTGAGCGGTAAGTCACTAAAAGAGTCTGAGAAGTGCAGAGCTGTTCATAAAACATTCAGGACACCACAGTTTATTCCACACTACTGAAGCTGCTCCTCTTTTTGGAACCACCGTGGAGCCATGCTAATCCCACAGGTCCGGAACCACAGGTGTTACACTTGGTGTGATTCTAGGCTGTGCCAGATGAAAGATGACAATCGCAAAAGAAACCTGGCGATATCTTTGGTGGTGGTTCTAAAACAGTGGCACAGTGAGAGAGGTTCAGGGATGGCCACCTACGTCTACCAACCAACCAACAGAAATGCAGCATGAAATGACGCATTGGAGCTAAACCCAAAGAAACAAACAGATAGCAGCTCGCCATGGAGGCAAAATGCGCTAAAAGAAATGTGTGGGATTCCAGCAAAGAGGAAAACTTTGTCAAGTTGTGGCCGCAGGAGCCTTGCCTGTATGATGTGTCCTCCAGCTCTGACCATGATCACGTAAAGAAGGACGAAGCATGGAAGGAAACAGAGGCGGAGTTACAGCTGCCAGGTGAGAAACCACACAGACACACCGCAGTATATAGCGCCCACAAAACTTGAGGTTATTTAATAATGTGACCCTCTATGTTGTGCTTTCCAGTTGGAGAACAATAACCTGTGCAGCATCCTTGTGCACTCAGTATGGGAAGGTATTGTATTGTACATCGTAGCCTGTGATTCAGTAGGTGCTGTCATTGTACAGTCTGTATGCTTAAGTCTCACAGTCTGTAGGAGGCTTTGGCTAATCAAACAGGCCAGAAATCCTAAAAAGCTTTATCTATACAGCTATCAAAGGAAAAATATGCCATCTGATAGTCTTACTGATGATGGAATGGTTTTCATTTGCTTCACTTTTGATCTCTTTATCTCCTCTCTGCCTCTACGACTTCAGCTGGGTGCTTCCAAAATGTTCCCAAAGGAGCCTGAGAAGACCTGAAAAGAAAGAGATGTCCTGGCTTTGGGTTTTATGTGAAGGTGGAGAAGGCAACCCGATGAAACACTGTCCAGCAAAGAAAAAGTGACTTTATTAAAACACGGCGTGTCCTCTGGCTGCACTGCATCCTGGTCTGTGATGACCTAAAAGAAACACTAAAAAACAAACTGAGCTCAGAGGTGCAGAAATGAAATGCAACCTTTTAAATCAGCAGTAAATCTAATGCAAGTTTTGGGTTGGAGTGAAGGTATTCACACAGGGTTAATCTGCAAGGCAGGACTTCTCATAATGTCTTAAAGATGTAAGTATATGTGATAGGCATAAAAAATAAATGGGCTAATGCATTTTCAGCATGGAAGCTGACAGATTTGGATATTTCCAGAGCTGTTCAGTTAATAAGATGTGACACTTCTGCTAAATAATTCTGTTGCTGGAGCAGTGACTCATCCTATATGCAGTGCATGAAAAGACGGAGGGGTGTTAAAGAGGAAATGTAAATAATACAGCAATAATAACGCCTCACGTTTCATCCCTGTCCTTCTAATGTTTTCTCCATCTAGTGTCTGAAACGATCTTATTTTTGAAGCCACATTTTTTTACATTTGAAAACTACTCAGAGCACACACTTTAAAAATTAATGGCCTGCTAAGAAATAATATTAAGACATTTAAGTTGAACTGAAGGGCAAATGACGAAGAAGGAAAAAAGCTGACTGTTACTCAAAACGCCCGCGTATCCATTTAAGTCTACTGCCAATGCAGCACTTCAAGGTTACACCAGCACCATGCCCAGTGTAACAACATCATTTCCTCGCCCTTTAATGTGAGCGAACCCTTCTGGACTAACAGTAACTCCAAACTGTTTCGCATCAGTTTCATCTTTGAAGATGTGAGAAGGGAGCAATTAGCACTTTCTATCTTCCCCCTCCCTGCCACCCCCTCCTCTCTTTAACTTCACTTAGCACTCCTCACAGCTAGTTCGTCTGCTGAGAGACGATTACTTCAAACACAAGATGGTGAAGTGATACAGGAAAAGGAAAGATGAATGGGAGGCGGGAGATGGATGATGTGGAGGTTGGGCTAGAAGAGATAGTGGACATGAAAGCAGAAAGGATGTACCAGAGTAAAATAAAAACTATGGTTCCACTAGATATGACTAAAAAACAATCAGACACATATTTTGGCCCAAAAACGTTCTTCTTCACTGTGCCCAACACCAGCCTAAAACAAACCAAGAATGAAACATGAATTCCCGCCGGGTGAAATGTTTCAACTTGAGCAAAAAATCTGCGAGATGTAAAAGCCTATTGGTGTTGAGATTTTCCTGACATCATCGGGAATCGGAAATAGAGGAGACTTACTGTCACCCTTTGTGGACACCCAGATTTCTATGGTCAATGAGAGACAAAACCAAAACAAACAGGGCTTGGAGAAAAGTGAGCGAAGCTATAGGACTACATGGTAAGTCCTGAAAATATGTACTTGTTGTTTGATTCCAGTTATCGGCTACACTTTGCTATGAACCAAGTCAGCATTAATGTAAGCGTTAGCAGCCTTCTCCGGTTAGTTCGTACAACTATTGGCACAACCGGCACTCCAGTGGCCACATTCGCGCATGTGCATTTTCTAATTTCCTTCTTATCTTGCTATGTTAGGGACGTTCCTGGGCACAGTGTGGAGGTGAGGATGGTACTATATAAAAAGTTAGCCACCAGGGGTGCCCAGTATCTCAGTGGGTAGAGCAGGTGTCTCATGTACAAAGGCAATGTCCTTGCTGCAGCTGCCATGGGTTTGATCCCAGCCTCCTCTCTCCCTCCCTCTGTCATGCTTAATACTGTCCTGTATAATAAAGGCAAAAGCCAAAAAAAGTTAGCAACCAGGTGCCATACCATAAGCGGCACACATCCACGAGGAAGCTGTGAAAATCGCGGACACAGTGCCGAAAAAAATCAATATAGCTAGTAGGGGCGTCAGTTTTGATTAACTTTGCTTTCAGTAGTCCAATACCCATTGCTGGTACTGATTTTTAAGGAAAAAAAAAAAGATGCATAATGATGGAGTACAAGCGGCATTTCCTTTTAGTCTGGCGCTGCACTGACTCAGTGAGCTTAAGCATCCCATTTCAAAGTGTTCTCCATTTAGAGGTGGTGAAATCTTTATGTTTTGTGCTGTAGATGTCTTACCTTTGATTTCACTTTCCACTGGCTTTGCTGACAGGCAGCCGGTTAGCTGCGTTAACATGTGGAAACATAATGCCAACTGCCTACCCTACGGTCTCCACCGTTGGACTAACATTGACCTTGGCTGCTCTGCACTGCACCTGGGTTGGTGGAAGCTAGCTAGCGGTGCTGCTCATTCAGCATTATGGCTGGTAATGCTGTCCCGGTTGCGGGACGGATTTGCTGCGGAAACACGGCCACTCTCCAGTCTCTTCCCAAGTCACCCTGGTGAGTAAGCGGCTTTATTTTGAGTCGGAAAACCTCTCCAACTTTGTTAATTATGTTACCACCACTAGCCGTACTAACACTGCTAACAGTGCTAGCAGTGCTAACAGTGATAACAAAGTTAACAATGGGTTTGTGGGGCGACCTGGGACCCACGGTGGGTACAACCGACTAACGATAACTGTTGACATCCATGATGGCAAGGCAAAACACCAAGCAGACAATGCTCGTTCCAAAACAAGAGTGAATCTGGGGTTGGTTTTCACTTCCGCTGCCGACATTGGTGGAGAGGATGAAGAGAGACGTAGAGTTAGCCTGTTTTCTGGTGGACAGGTAGGTGCCAGCTGTTAGCTTAGTTAGCTCACTAAAATATCTGCTTTAACAAATATAATGTTCGTACAACAGTAGCTTGCAGTGTGAAGTGTAAATGTTACAAACAGTAACTGATAATTCCTGTACAGTGCACCTTTAATATGTAGTAACATTTAAATGTAAAACACTTGCAACTCGCAAAATGAAT